TGAAGAACTCTGCAAATCTTGTATCTTAAACATTTATAAATGTTTAAAAATCTTGCATGAGATTCCCTGTAACCAGAGAATCCCTGTATTCTTGTTGCTATTCCGCAGAAGTTTCGCTTTTCCGGCAGCACAATTTACAAGGCAAAACAAACTAATAAGAAAGTACGTGCGAATAATTTTACAAATTAGACTAGAGAGTGTGGTGACACCCGCAGCCGGGGCATGCAACCGAACACTTCTTGAGCCACTGTTTCGGGGCAATAAAGCCCCGGCTAACATGATAAGAGACCAGGGACTCGTGTGGAAACCAGACACGCCTCAAACTTCGTGCCGCACTACTGTTAAATGCGAACTGTAAACAAGAAGCGCTGGCAACAACTATTTTGCGTGCCGCATCGCCGGCTATCGTTGCTTCTTTTGGGGAACTCGAGGCGTCTCCACGACGACCACACGTCGGATACTCGATATCGGGGAATTGCAGCGTGTGATCGAATGTGAGAGTTTTTGAGAATTACACGGAGGTCTGCAGGGTCAAAGAAGAGGTATTATTTCTTCAAAATAAATACATTTGGAAATACTTTTAATTGACTAACACAGAATTGGAGTATCTTTTGGCAGATTCACTATTTTTAAATTGCTATTTTTAAATATAAGTAAAAGTCATTCTTTCAAATACAATGAAAGATTTAATAAATTAAATTTATTAAAGAGAGTATACTTTATTGAAATGTACATATGGTTTTCTTTGTACAACTTTATGGGAAAACCAGTATTTATTTGCCCACTTCATCCACCAAAGGCAACTTGTCCTGAGCTTCACTCATTTTCCACGAGCTGGTTTCGATTCTGGGGCCAAACAAAAAGCAATTAGCTGGCACAAATCCGTGGAAAACAACAGGGAATCGGCCAGCGAGCGGGAAAAGGAAAAACAAGGCAGCCGGGAAGGAGTCCAATAATAAATAAATAAAACTTAAAGCAACTCACATTAATGAGGCCGCTTGGCGCCACTTGGCATGACAAACATGTGGCGCACGTGGCTGGCAAACGGAACTCGGACTGCTCCCGGGTGTTTTTTGGGAGGGCGCACCACCCAGTGGGCGGTGGGTGGTGGGCAGAAGTGGGTGGCTGGATGGCTGCAGCGCTAATTCCCTAACATGTCACGAATCATATTGAACATGCGGCTGTGCCAAATGATGATGAGCGCCGGCCAATGAAGGCGGGACCCCCATCTTTGTACGGGTGGAGCTGCAGGAAAAGCCAAGGAGGAAAGGCGGGAAAACTGACAGACAGACGGAGCATAGGAATTAAGCCAAGTGTTGTCTGCCTCCGCCGGTGGAGAATGGCTAACACTTAACTCATTTTCTACATGTGCGGCATACTAAGAGTGCAGTGCTCATTTCGGTTCGCTGGCAATTATAATTGGGTGTGCGGAAATTGTGTAATTTTTCACAAATTTTCATGCATCATTCCGTGCTTCCTCTGGGCCCATTAATTATTATTTTGCTCGCACATTTCGCTGATTTATTGAGTGTCAGCTGGGGGGAGGGCGGGGCATGGATGCAGCTGCATATTATTTTATTCGGTGCCCCAACAGCTGCAATCACTGCGGCCTACAAATCTCTCCTGCGAAAAACAAAAAAAATTAAATGCAAATTGCAAATGAAATTACATGCACTTCCACTTGAGAAGAGCGCAGACCAAAAACGCTGGGCGAAAATAAAATTATTAAACAATCAACAGCTCAAACAGAAGCCGCGGAATACCTAGACGGGAAATCCCCGACTCCCCACCCCCTCCCAACTCCCCTCATGATGACGCACATTAAAAGCCTGCAACATTCCGACCGCCATTAAGTCAAATGGATGAGCTTGTGTGTAATAAAATTTTTTATTATCATCTGTCGCTTGCGCTTGAAGCATCGAAATGAAAACCGGAAAAAAGTGCGGAATAAAACAAGAAGTGAGTGGAAGATGAATATCTGGAGGACATCGATGGCAAATGGCAAATGCCCTTTGGGAAGGCAAATTAAGCAGGACCTTTGAGGACCTAAAGATAGAATAATTTGTGAATTTTTAAGAGGACACAGTACATTTTCTCTTATAAATGTAGAATCTTTAAATCAGTAAAAGGTTAATAAAAGTAAAAGTTTAAAAGGTATCTGAAATTCTAGCACAATAAGGGGTACTTCAATCAATATTATTTAACTTATTTTATTGGTATCCATTGTAAGCAAACATATTTTTTCCATCCTCAAATTTTGAGCTAATAGATTGGATTATAGCCTAATTTAAGTTGGCCATTGGTCATATTTTTCAATCCACTAAAAAACTTATCATCTTACCCTATTTTACAGAAAATCTAGGATCATTATCCTAACCTCCCGTGTTATAATACTCCTGAACCATCAGGAGAAGTTAATAATAATTTTGTTAACCATCTTTTTTAATTCTCTAACAAACGTATCATTCTATCTACCAAACCGATTGAGCCAGCCAATCGAACCACTTATCCTGTAAGGACATTCCGACCAGCGCTGCCTTGTCTTTCTTGGTAAATTCACACAAAACATCGCGGAAAGCGCAGAAAGGGACGGGCAGAGCGGATAGAGGGGGACAGAGAGACATCCGGGCAGACAGGCGCAGGCATTCAGAAAAATGATGGTCAGCCACAAGAGCAGCAACAACCATCGGGAAAATATCAGCAACAAACTTTCGGAAAACAATTTTTTCACTTTGTTTGCCGCCCAGGGAATATATTTTTATACTCCTCTTTTTAGTTTTATGGCTTTTTAAAAGTAGTCAGAGCCCCACCGCCAGCGGCCTGGCATTTTACACTCGACTGGCGTGAAAATTCATTAAAAAATTGTGTTTAACATGCCAAACAAAAACAGGAGGAGCACGGAAAAAACACAAAAAACATGGCAGAAATTTTTGCGAAATTTTTTATTGCGGTCCAACAGCTCCAGCGGAATTTCGTTGGTCTCACGGATCTTTTGCATTAATGGCCGCACTTTTGGCGTACTTTTTGACATTTATTTGACGCATGGCAATGATGTTCATAAATTTCCCGGACGAAATGCAATCCTCATTGCAGCAGCTTTTGGGATGGGCTTACCATTTCCACTGGGAATCCCTAGCTGAGTCTTGAGTCTGGGCCGAAATGAGGCCTGTCACCGCCAGTTGTCTTTCGATAAAGGGTCTCCACAGCCCACCCCCTCGAACCCCGAGCAATATGTGGAAAAGCAATTTATGGCAAAGAAACGCGCAGAATGGGAGCAACTTGGGGTTGCCAGAACAATGGCACGAGGCCTTGGTGACTTGTCAGAAGGAGCGGGCGCACGGCCCCCCGGCGAAATTCATTTGTTATGCAAGCTACATTTCCGTTTCCGGTTAGCACAGTTAGCAGCACGACTCAAGACCAATTGAAAGGGCCGGGAACAACGGGCCACAACAAGAACAGGAACAAATACTGCAACGTCAAGTCGGAAAAGTAATTTGCATTTGTTCGCTGATTAATTACAGGAGGGCTTAATGATGGAGAGCATTTGAGGCTTTATTGGTTTTAGTTGTTAAGGGTAAATTGATTTTTTGGAAAACTTTCAAAAGGGGAGAATGCTTACAAACAAGAAAAAAGCAAACAATTATAATATTATAATATTTTCCTACTAACTACATCCATATTAGCAAAAGGGTACCTAACCCACCGTTGCGTATATGTAACGTAATCATTTTTTGCTTTGTGTGATAGGTAAATATATGCAAATGTTTTGAAAGCGAAAAGTATTTCTAGCTCATTTGCATTTCTGCAACGAGCGTCGCATTGCGGTCGGAAAAGTCAAGCGGAAAAAGGGCCGCTTAAAATGCATTTGGGCCCCGAACCCCATATCGTAGACCCATCAACCCCAGATGGCGGAGTGCTTGGGAAAGGGTTGGGATTGCAGGGGTAGGGCTGCCCAATTGTTTATACCACACGTACAGCCCATAAATTTGCCACACGCAAATGCGTTGAGTATCTATCGAGCACTACATCATTATTTGCCAACTTGAGGTGCGCATTCTTAATTATCACCGGAATGAGAGCTCCACTTGAAGGAAGAGTCTTCTTACGCCTGAATGCAGCTGAAATTCGTATGCATTTTTGGTGGAAACCTTATCTGTAGGGTATGTGTTTTATGGCAATATTTCGAATTTTTTATTTATTAATGAGATATTCTTTTATGACACATAATAATGCCATGTTTAAATATTAGTATAAAGACAAGTATACCATTTTCTGTAAGGAAAGCCGTCAAAAAATGACTCAGTTCAGATTTCTGGTGACTGACATAAGAACAGCGAGTCTCATCATCAGCACCACCAGTCGTACCACCCCCTCCACCAACCACCCCCTCCACGGGGGAATCCTGCAGGGGCTGTCAAGTCAAGTTGGCCGCAACACGTTGCCCCTAATGATTTATCATCGCTCATGCTATACTTGTGCTTATGAGTGCAGCAGGATGATGTTGATGCAGATGATAATGATGAGGAGGACGACGAGGACGAGGACGGCAGTGAGTGCTCAAGTGGTGCATCCTTTGCCATCCTTGGCGTTAATATCTGTTTAGCTGCACTCTGGCTCTCTGCATTTAAGCCAGCACTAATTTATGCAGAGTGACTTCTCGGCTTTTGGCTTAAACTGCCAGTGAGAACGTTGTGTGGATCTTTCGATTGCGATTCGATTCGATTTGCATTGGCATTAGAATTCATTCAATTAAACACGCAACACTTGTGGAGCATTGAGTGCAGGGGAGCAATAAAAGATTTATGTGGTATGAGTAAGTATAATTGATTTGTAGAAGTTGCTCATATATTTCATTTGTTGATAAACTCTTAATAAAATATATTCAATAAAATAATTTACTTTAATTGGTGGCAATTAAATTTATCATTCAAGAGAATCATTTCTGAGTCCATTATTCATTTTATAAAAATTTTATTTGGTTTTGAAATAGTTAAAATATTATTTTAGCAAGCCTGGAAACACAAATCATTGTTTTTATTTGTACAACAAAAACTGAAAATACATTCAAAATAATTCCATAGACCGCATAAATGTAAGTTGGTGACAGAAATGCAGATATGTTTAAGCAATTCATCATTCTTTCATTATAGTCGAATAGTTTAAAATGGCTGATGGAGTTAATTTTACCATGGCTCCTTTTCCACCGGACGCCATAGAATATTCAAGTACTGAGGCTGAACCCAAGAGCTCTGGCGCTGAAGACCCTGTACCAAGTGTCTTGATAACGGGCCTTTTGATCCTGGGACTCATGATTTGGTTTAGATTGCTCTCCAAGTGGGCAACTGTCAAAAAAGGCTATTTAGAGCGAAATTCTGTGAAAGTTCTGGAAGGAAGGAAAGCTCTTAGCAGAAGAAACCAATATATCTATTGATTTTCGGGCTAATTTGATTCCCCGGTAGCAAATCGTCTAATTATTTCAGCTTAACTTGGATCTATAAACAAATAGACACTGTTGTGAAGCGATTCCCTTTGTTTTATTTCATGTTTTCATCTTGAATGTTTCTCCTTTCGAGTTATTGGCTTGAATTAAAAGTACCCAGTTCCAGTTCTAGACTTTTCATCTTCAAATTAAAGGCAATCAAGCGGAGTCCTGCTGCCGTGGCTCCTCGTCCTTTGGCTCCTCGGTCAGCTCCTTTGGCATCTTCTGTCCGGCAATGAAGACATTTTGAATAGCACAAAAACAAACAAGCGGCAACCAAATGCCAGCACTTGCCACTGCCACCGGCCCATTCTCTATTTTACCGGCTTTCCTTGGTTTTTCTTGGTTCCTGCTTCATCTTCGTCTTGGGTTTTTCTACACTGAAAAAATTTTAACGGATTGCTTAAGTATTTTAAAATATTTAAATAAATCAAGAGCTTTTGTTTAATGTAAGTGTATAACAATTCAAGATCACAACTAGAAATTGTAAATAATATACCTTAGTGCAGTTCTCTTAGTGAAAATTAGTTTTATAAAATTAAATAATTATTAAATACTTTTATTATTAGCTTTATTAATTTGGAACTTGGAAACATTTTTTATTTTTAATTCAATTAAAAACTAAAACAACACAGTATGGAACAACACAGTAATGAAATTTAAAAATAGATTTCAATGTTTAAGTATTTGTTAGCAATATATTTACTTCTGTGTATAGCTGGGTCTTAGCTCAGGTAAAAATAAATTGTAAATAATTCCGTTTATGCGGCATGCGAAGACAAAACACATAAAACTGCCAACCAACCGAGCAGCCAGGCAGCCAACGAGCTGTGAGGGGGTTGGGGATGGTAGATGGGTGGCGGACAGGGGGTGGTGCTTTGGGCCAGGTGAGAGGGGTGGCCAAAGGTGAACCCCAAGTGCTGTTAGAATTTACTACGCTCGAGGGGCGGGGCAGGCGGCGCTGCAGGTCATTTTCATGGCTGCCGTGGCATACGTAATTGAATAGCAGACAGCAGGAACAAGGAAGAACCGGCGGGGGCAATGGGTCCAAATATACCTCGCACTCGTTGGATTAATTTTTAATGAATTCTCTCCTTTAGCCCGGGCTCATTCCCATACCCATTCCGTTTCCATTGCTGCGACGTCTTGCATTTAGACCGTCTTTATTTGCGGCAGCCAAGACAAATACACAATAAAGAGACGTGTGTGTGAGCCAGGATATAAAAACTTAAGTGAGATCGAGTCGAGGAGTGTGGAGTGGGATCTTGGGATAAAGTGGGGCTGGCTCACTTTAACAATTTCAGCCATTTAAGTTTGGCGTCAGTCTGCTGCTGCCTCATATGGAAATGCAAATACGGTTAAGGGAAGCGGGTTTGGGCCACCGGAATTATGAAAAATATGCCAGTTCACACACCCAAAAAAAAAATCGCCCTTAAATCAAGAAATTCGCCTTTAAATCAAGAAAATCGCCTATGATTTTCATCCAACGGCGACTCACCTTTATTTTAAATAAATAATTTTCTTGAATTTATGGTTTGCCATTTCTGGAAATAATGACAAATTTTTCTTAAATGTATGGTAAAAAACCTTAAAATTAAGGAAAAATTTATTAAAATAAGACAAAAAAATATTTATAATGTAAGATTACATTACATTTTACATTTTAAATTTTACACCTTACATTTAAGGAATTTGGTGGGTTTTGTATACCAATTTTGGATTTTAAATGGATAAAACCCTTTCCAATTTTAATGGCAATTATTACATGGGAATACAGTCTGAAAATTTTTATATTTACCTGAATTTATTAAAGATTTATTTTATATAAATACTTTTTATAAACATATAAATAAATATAACAAATGGAAAAATCCTTACCTCAGACAACCCCGGCGTGAACTCGAACCCGCAACCGCTCACACACCGTAGCCAGACGACTTAACCATTCGGCCACGCGTGCTTCTTGTCATACAATGACTAAAGAGGGCTAAGGTGTTTTTGGTCCAGCTTTACGCATACCAATAACGTTTATTCTAATCTAAACCTTTTTAACAACCATTTAAACAATTTGGTAAATAGAAAAGTGAAACTAATAAGAATAAAAATTACTTAAATTAAAAAAAAAAGAAAAATAAATAAACAAAGGGAACACTTGCCGTGGCGTGGGCTCGAACCAGGTACTTTTGTTCGATTGTTTATTGACCGGACGTCTTTACCAGCTAGACCACCATCAAAATGTATAAAAAAAAGTCACTTTCTCTTAAAATATGGGTATTTCTTTCCTAAATTTAAGTAAGAATTTACCATTATTTCAAGAAAAAAAATCAAGACAAATTCGCCATTAGTTAAAGAAAAAAATGCGATTCTTCCTCTTCTTCATTACAAAAAAAAAAAAAATTATGGCGAATTCCTTAAATTGTAGGTATTTTTTCTATAATCAAGAAAATATTTCTTAATTCAATGGCGTTTTGAAATCACGGGCGATTTTCTAATATTTATGGTGATTTTTTTTTTGAGTGCAGGGCCAGAAGATGATGGAAGGGTGAGGCCGCATTGCATGCACATGCAAGCGGATTAACATTTAAATTAAAAAAGCAAAGGCCGCAAAGTGCCAAGGCAAATAAACAAAAGTGCGGAAATAGAGAGCTGTTGAGACTAGCAGATACCTTGTAAAAAATAATAAACTGATTATCTATTTTTATGGTAATTTAATTGTGTACAGAACTTATCTTATCTTTTGGTAAACGCTGCCAGGAACAAACATTGTTAAATATTAAACTTTGTTTTTTGCTAGCTAATGTGCCTAATAAATTATATATTCAAATGTTTATCAGAAATATGTTATGATATATCAGAAATAGTTTAAAAATTCTTTTTATTTTCATTATAATTTATTTAATAATCATTATAATAATCATTATATAGCTCCGTATACCCGAAAAGGGAAAAACCTCTTGAAACTGCAGCGAAACCGAAGTTCCCAAAAGCTCGCTCTCCCTTCGCAGGACTCGCATTCTCTTTCGCGTTCCTGCTCTCAGTTGCAAAACAGCTGCTTGTCCTGTGGCATAATTCCGCTTTTGTTGTCCTTTATTATTGTTGTGGCAGCTGCTAAATTTTGGTTTATCCCCCACATTTTTTTAACCACAAGAGTTACCTCTGAGTTGTAATCCGTTTACCATACAAGGCCCCAATTTGTTTCCTACTTTTGTGGGCTGTGCAAGGTGCAGTGAAGTCAAGTGGTCAAAATGTTATTTCTTAAAAGTTTGTAACGAATTTAAAGAAAGAAATGAACATTTTTTTTAAATTTTTATAATGTTATAATATTGTATTATTTTACATATTAAAATTAAAAAAAGGCGCAAAGCTGCAGCTGCATCAACCAGAAAGGCAGCTGTCGAAAGCTTGTGTTTTATAAGGAAAAGCTCTCTTGGAAAAGCTTTTGTAATGCAGTTTTAGAGCGCAAACTATGAGATATTTGAATTCTATAATTCGAGACAATAATGTGGAAAACTGTGATAAGCTGAAGTTGTCAGTGGCTTAAGGTAAGTCAGAAAAAACCTCATGATTGTGTTGCTTGCAGTTGGAAATTTCTCTAAAAAGAAATTATGGAAAACTCGTTCACCCCAAAACGTGCTTGAACTGTATTTGGAGGGGATTAGACCGCAAGTTGCGTTAAAACTAAATTTGCTATTATTATAAGCATACTTTTTATGCAATTCTAGGATGTGAAAAACCACAGTATTTAACCTACTTTATTCAATAAGTGATTGCATTTGAAAGTGCCGTACAATATATGCCAAAATGTTATAGAACATTTTCGTATTGAACCCATATATCAAATATGATTATTTGATGACCTTTCTGCCCCCAATGCTGATGTTGCCACACTCGTATCTGCAGCAAATTAGCATTTGTTCAGCCAACAACGAGAATTCTGTTCCTTGGTGGCCGTAAACAAAATGTTGCAGCATTTAGAGCGCAAATAAAAATGCCAGCGAGCAAAACAAGTTCTCCTTTTCTTGGCCCTCCTTGGCACTGGGTTCACATTCTCAGATATTGCATAAATAATTTATGTAGTTATTTTTGTCTTTTGCCTTCGCTGGGTTCCTTCCACAAATAGTTTCTCGAATGCGGATTCAATTTGCCAGGACCAAAGGTGGTGGCTCGCTTGGCCCTTCTCTTTCGAGAAGCAGAAAATGCATATTTAAATCAAATAAAATTCCTCAGCTCGGAATTAAATGTTTAAAAATTTAAAAACTGACTTTCGCTGACTGGCACCCTCTTGCCAGCCATCATCTCACCTTGCCACCTGGCCACGCCCTCGGGGAGTCGTTAATTTTTATCACATCTCCTTGATCCTGGCTCCTTGGCACTCTGTTTCTGTTTCTGACTGCATTCCACTCCGAAAAATGCATTGAGCACAGGGGGCAGGTGTCTGCCCATTTCCTCGAGACGGCATTTCTTATTAAAGCCAAAAGGTCCTCCCAAAAGGACACAAAAAGGAAACTCTGGATGCCGCAATGGTTAGAAAATGCAGTGGAAATTGGGTGAAGAGTGAGCTAGGCAGTTTTCAAGTTTTACCCTAACGAATTTTGTTGACATGTAATTACTTATAACAAAAAATTCATTTTAAATTTAAAAGGTTTACCAAATAAAATTCTAAAACTTGGAAAACATTTTAATTTATTTGCCTAACTTTATTTTAAGGACTTGCTTATCCTGGAAATGTTCTTTAAAATTGTGTACAGAATGGAAAAAAGTTTCAGGGTCAACTTGATATTGAACAATGTTAAGTAGATATTGAAAAATGCTATTTTTCTTTGAGAGTGGAAAAATATACGAGTGTGGGTTCAAGATACTTTTATTTTATTTTAAAGTTGGCCTAAGCACTTCGTGTGTCGTAACTACCCTTTTTGGTAAGGGCAGGTTTCGCATTGAGACGCGACATGCATAGCTAATGACCGAATCTTCGGCGTCTCTCTCTGTGGCTGTCGGAAAAGTAATAAAGCGTGGCCAACAAAGCGGGCTCAAAGCGAAATTCGTCAG